TATCCTAAAAAAAATAATTCACTGAACTATGCATATGTAAAGAGTTTAATAAAACAAAAATCAAAATAGAACCCCACACCACTGCACAGAAGTCCATATACAACTTTATTTCCCCCTCCAAATCAGGGGGCAGTCCAAAAAGTATCCAACACATTTCAGGGGTCCAAGAGCACCCCCTTCATCAGGGCTTGATTGACAACAATGTGAATAAATTAGAAGTGTACTGGACCTTTAATATTATTTTTTTCCAGTGTGATTGCAAGCACAGGCCTCGTCAACATCTGGTTTGGCAGCTGACCCAGCTGTTGACAAGGCCAGATGAAGGAGGCGCTCATGGACCCCCCTGATTTTTATTGGAATAAAGTTGTACCTGGACCTCTTAGTAGTGTTTTATTGCTTAAAATTACATTTTTGTTACATATACACTTCAAGCAAAAGAGACAGTAGAGATCCTCTGGGGTGTAGAAGCTGCCTACCTGGAAACCAGATGATATACATCATCAATACTTTAAGACAGCAATACCAGTGAGATAACCCTACAGGTCCAGTGCTATTTTTCCACTTTCCTCAACTATGTAAACAGTTTATCCACTTTACACAAAAAAGGAATATGCTTAGATGCTTTGTCCCACCATCAGCCAGAGAGATTACCTTCTTCTGTTTGTTCAAGTTTCTTAGGGATCGTCAGCTAGAATTTTGCATTTCAGTTACTCTGCTGAAAAGAGATCCACATTGAAAATGAAGTCCAGACCACAGAATAAGAGCATACAGCCTTTAGAAAAGTAAGGACACCCCATGGAAAATGTTGGCTCTCTTGACATACTGTATTTGAAAATGCAAACAATAGACCTTTACTCAAACAGTGTCTACAGATAAAAGTGATATACTTGAATAAGAACATAAGAAAATGCCTTTTTAAATATTTGGAAAAAGTACAACAATGGGATCCAAAGCTGGTATTTCCCATCACTGAGAGTCATTTTGTATAACTGCACATTAGCTTCTGGCATTGACTCTGGCCTGCGAATGATTTGCATGTTCTGTGAATGAATGAGCTACAAGTCCCGAAAGTCTTTGCACTGTGGAGCGCCATGGTAGTTCATTGATTCTTCCTGTCAGTATATCTGCTTGCCCGTACATCATGTACAGGCAAGCAGATATACTGACAGCTCTGCAGGAGACCTGCATGGCATTGGTGATCTGCTGATCGCTGTTGCAATGCATTAGAGCACGGGTGTCAAACTGGCTGCCCTCCACCTGTTGCCAAACTACAAGTCCCATGAGGCATTGCAAGATTGACAGTTACAAGCATGACTCTCAAAGGCAGAGGCATGATGGGACTTGTAGTTTCGCAACAGCTGGAGGGCCGCTAGTTTGACACCCCTGCTTTAGAGGCTTCACACAAAAAAAATAATAATTGCACATTTTTTTACCTGCAAAAAAATGTGAATTTATTATTTTTTGTAAAAAGGTGAACTTATCCTTTAGGCACATCCACGTGCAAAATTACTTCAGTTGCAAAAGGTTTGTGGGTTTCCTTGAACTGCCAGTTTCAAAATTCCCTTACAAGATTTCATCAAGAATCAAAAGCAGGTTTTTGATTAGGTTAGTCCATATACCCCTATTTCTGGGCCATTCCATGGTGTGTTTGCTAGTTGGTGTGCCTCAGATCATTATCGTGTTAAGACTCAATTCCATCTCAACTTTCATTTTTTGGACAGATGGCCTCACATTCTCATCAAGCATAGTTTGATGAATGTGAGCTGCCCAGCTTCTAAAGCAGTTCACAGTTGTTATGAGGTTCCTCTGGTGAGATATTGTCTTTTACTTTTACCACCAAACAACTCTCATTGATTAGTCGGTCTTCAGCACATTGTTCTGGTCTTTGTTCAATGTCTGTCTTTGTATGTTCAATGGCAAACTGTAGGATTTTTGTTTTGTCATGTAGGTAGAACTGGTGACATCTCTTTTAGGCACTCTAACCACAACTACTAAACAAGTTACCCCACAATTACATTTTTAGATTCTTGAAGGCTACTTTTTAGCATCAAATGGCCAGCTCTTTAGTTGAATTTGTTGGGATGGCTGGTCCTGGACAAATTAGCAGTTATTTGAAATCTACACCACTTATACATTTGTTTTTATAGTAGAATGATGGACTTCAAATAATTTGGTCATTTTTTAAATCTTTTCCAGACTCACAGGCATCCACATCTTTCTGAGGGTCTTGGAGAGCTCTATTGATCTTGGCACATTCATACTATACATCAATAACAAAGAGAACACAGATATCTGAGGTTTCTATCAAACAGGTTCCACTGCATAATTCCTAAGGCTGTTTTAATCACTGGCACCTAATCAGGAATACCAGATTCTAATATAATGGCTTTGAAATGGTGATAAATGTAGGGCAGTAATTATTTTTTCCATATGAAAAATCAGCATTTTTGTTAATTTAGAGCATAAAATGGAATATGTTGTATCATTTTTAGATGTTTTTTCCAAAGCGATTCTCCAGTCTCCCCCACCACAAAAATAATGGTAAGCAAATATAAATACTGTAGCTGCTGACTTTTAATATAAGCACACTTATCTGTGATGCAGTGTTGTCCTTGCCTCAGCTGATTCTTCAGTCGGCTTCAGGTCCAGGAGCTGGCATCTTAACTAAGGGAAACCAGCATTGAAGCAGGTTTCCCACTGCACATACGCAAGCCTTTTGTGAATGGTCCAGCAGTCTTCTGGGAACTGTAATGTTTCCCAGAAGGCTGTGGCAGAAGAAGAGCTGAAGTGGGAGTGGGTACCTGTCAAATCCAGGTACCTGCTCCCATCCCATAAAGTGCCAAATGTTAAAGAGGAGGGGGGATGCAAATAAGCAGAACTTCCCCTTTTGGGTGAAGTTCCACTTTAAGGCCTCGTTTACACCATACGTGCAAAAAAGAATGATGGAAACTGATACGCAGATTTTATTTGCAGAGACATCAGTTTACATGCGCACTGCAATGAGTTTTATACTCGTTGCAGATTTCTGCACAGAAAAAAAATCTGCAGGTAATACTAGTGTTATGGAGTGAACAGGTGACTTAGAGAACAAGTGATTTTCCTGTGCACTTGTGGAACTCATGCAGAAAAGCTAACGTATGCACCATGGTGTGAAGCCTAAAACAGAACTAAACTTGATTTCACGGTTTCCGAAAACAGTTACATTTATGGCATGCTGTGAATAACTGTCACAGTTGGTTTTTCAAACTGTCAAAACTATCAAACAGCTGGTGTCATAACTGATCACTGTCACGGATCCACGATCGCCACCACCAACATGCGACAATCGCACAACCGCGACTAACAGTAATACGTCACGCCCACGGCGTCAGACCCCAGACCTTCTCACCAAACTCGTGACCGAAGGACCGGCTGATCTAAAACCGTGGTATGACGCGCGTAACAAGGCCACACCCAGCTTCACCTTGCACAGCGATTGTCCAGCTAATGGGCTACAATCGGTGCCTGCAGCCTGAATGCGCTTGTTACTGGGTCGGGTTAATTACGCAACTAACCCTTCACACTGCCACCACCGTCTTGAAATGTACAGAGAAGACGGACTCTGTCAGAAATACACTATAATGATTGAAAAGTCACCTGTCCAATATGGTCAATTGGGCAGGGAGTAAAACAAACACAGTAGCGTTTCTTCAGAAGGCAGGAATTCGTGAATTACAGGTAAGCGCTTAGAAACAGTTTAACACTTCCAGAAAGAAAGATTTATTACTAAAAGAGTCAAACAGGTGCAATAAAATATTTACAAAGAGATGTCACAAATATATATATATATGTATATAAAGACACAGCAGCAAGATAATAGGAAGGAGATTACAGGGTTGAGTTACTTGCCTTGCCTTGGTTTTGCAGATTCAAGCTGCAGAGCAGGGTGATTCTTTGATCTCCTTTTGTTACAATGTTCGCTGGGAGATCTGTGTGTGTGTGACTTAAACTCGCTTGTCTCTTCTTAAAAGTCCCTCTCAAAGGGAGGGGGGGGCTCTTACTACACGTTTTGGGAGTGGTCAGTGGGAAACTCAGTTAAAACTAACAGCTTCATAATCCATGACATGAAACACACAGTTGACCTGAGGAATGTTCAATTCTCTTTTAAGTCCGGGAGAGAATCTATTATCTGTTTTATGATGTGGGGGCTTACACAGTTTTGGGGTCAGTGCTTCCCAATTCTCTGAGAAATGCTGCCTTATCAGACGTAGGTGAGAAAGGTTACATGTTTACCCAGACAACTGGCACCAAACCTGGTTGACCCGCACCATCTGTCAGGAGATAACATTTACCTCTCAGGAAGGGAGGGAGGTAGGGAATGGGGGCTGAGAAATATAAAATATCTTGAATAAAAAGAGAAAAAAGGGTTGAAGGAGAACTCCGCTCCAACTCTGATGAGCAAGTTTGCTACAATCACATGTGCAGCGTCATGGCAACTGCAGATCAAACACAGGCTAAGATTCCTTATCTGTAAAGTGTAGGAGGGTTTAGTTCCACTTGAAAGTAGATCAGCTTTATCTGAAGGCACTTTTTGAATCAATACCTAATGGTTGCTTGTTCATATATGGTAAAACAAACACAGCAGTTCCATGTGCTTACTTTGTCACGATTGTAGTTCAGTAGAGAAATCTCCCAGGCCCAATCGGGTCCCATGACTCCTTTGTCATCCATTCTATTTAACTACTTGCCTACTGGGCACTTATACCCCCTTCCTTCCCAGGCCAATTTTCATCTTTCAGTGCTGTCGCACTTTGAATGACAATTGCGCGGTCATGCAACACTGCACCCATATGAAATTTTTATCATTTTTTGAGACAGAGCTTTCTTTTGCTGGTATTTAATCACCTCTGGGTTTTTTATTTTTTGCTAAACAAACCAAAAACTGAAAATTTTGAAAAAAAAAAAAAGATTTTTTTCTTAGTTTTTGTTTTAAAATTTTGTAAATAAGTGATTTTTCTCCTTCACTGATATGCGCTAATGAGGCTGCAGTGATGGGCACTGATAGGTGGCACTGATGGGCATTGACAGGTATCACTGATGGGCACTGAAAGGCAGCACTCGTATATAGCACTGATAGGTGGCACTGACTGGTAGCACTGACGGGCACTGATAGGCAGCTCAGGTGGGCACTGATATGTGGCATTGATGTGCACTGGTAGGCACTGATATGTGGCACTGATGGGCACTGACAGCTGGCATTGATGGACACTGACAGGTGGCACTGCTGGGGCTACATTGATCATCAGTGCCCTGATGATCAGTGTACATATCCCCTCCGAGGAATGCTGATTACCGGCTCTCCTCTCGAGCTGTCAGCGTGACAGCTCGTGAGGAGAGAAATGCCAATAACCGGCATTTCCCTATTTACATGAGATCAGCTGTGATGATTGGACACAGCTGATCACATGACCGAGCCAAAGTCTTTGGCTCTTTCCATTGATTGCTGAGCCGCTGTGTCCGAGGGACACAGCGCACCACCAACTGCCGCACTGCGCGCTCCCGGAGCTACGCATGCGCAGCTAGAATGGGAAAACGCCCTATGACGTCCTCCCAAAACGAGAAAACCACCTTGCGCCCGCATTTCCCTATATGGCAGGCGGGAGGTGGTTTAAAAAGATGGAGCTGAAGAGGAACGCTTGCTGCAGAAGCTCTATTTTAGAGTACATTTCAACACACATCATTCGCATCTGTGCTTGTGGTGTGCTGCACTGTGTTTTGGGGGTGAAATTGGGAATGATCTGCAATGCACAAATAACGAATCGCATTAACTTTAGTAGGAACAAGCCCTAAGATACAAACACCCATGCAGATAAGAAAGCTTAAAATGACTCCTTAAGTTCAGCTCAGTCTATTATTATTATTACTATACAGGATTTATATAGAGCCAATAGTTTGCTCAGCGCTTTACAATATAAAGGGAGACAATACAGCAACAGTTAAATACAATAGGGGTTAGGAGTTTCAATGACTGCCATATGTAGGTGGACTGGGATGGATGAAACGTATATTTTATGAATAATGAATAATGTGTCCCAGCATCCAACATATTTGGTCATATACTTGTATATTTTAGCTACTGCTAAAGTTTTAACCAATGGGCTTAAAGCTCATACACACAGCCATATGAAAATATGGCAGCTTTATGCAGGACAATGCTGGCAGAAGCTGGCAGTAAGATCCTGCATAAAAAATGCTCTATATGCATTATCACAAAAAGTTAAAATATACTTGACCCTTCTAGGTCACAAGTTTATTTGCTATAATTCTCCTTGACCTCCTGGTGCAGGCCGCACGCAAATGTGCTGCCTCCCGGCGTCTGGGCCTCAAAACCATATGTGCTGAGAGCGCGCGCCCTGCACGCTCCCAGCACACGTCCGGTACTCACAGAAAGGTCCCGATCTCCACTTTCGATCGGGACCTTTCCCGATCATGTGACCACCGTGCTGGTGAATCACGGCAGTCACATGACCCTAAAACTCCGCCCCACCTCCTGGCTTCTGAAACCCTAAAGGTTCGGATGTAATACCTCTACCAAAATCTGTATGTGTTATGCATTTCTGAGCAAAGTTTACATGCACACAGTGTGACAGCACATATTGCCTATTGGCTACTACCACTACCCAGCTAGTGGCTAGATCACAGGCATTTAGCTATAGATTTTTTTTTTTGTCAGCAATTAGAGGGCGGGGTGCCTGAAGATCATTCTTATGGTTACCTTAGCAGTTTCACAATCCTGTAAAATAACAAATGAGAGAAAACTTACAACTCTTTTCTTCTAATGTGTATTCATTGAAGCATAGACCAACTTGCTTGCAGAAACATGTTATATGGCTTTGATAGCAGGTTCCATGTATAGACACATAAAGACATGTAGACCAATTTTCTCATGTGGGAACAACAGGGTTGACTGAATTACCATAGTATCTTTAAAATAAAGACACAATGGTACAACATTCCCTAAAGGTTTCCAAAGGCAGCACCTGGATGTTAAGGAAAAAATTCAATCTCAAGAGGATCTTTGGCTCACTGGCAATCATATACACTTTATTGTATACTTTGGACATATATACAGTATTCAGGGGTGTGGAAATTTTTGAAAAAACTGCTCGTCCAGGGACTAAAATGGAGCCCCAATCTACTTGTAAATTTTAACCAAAACCGTATTTCAATCTGAGGTGCTTTTAGGAGTGTCTGGGGCTTTTATAAACAAAACGGCTTTATGGGGACTTAAACGTTTAATATTTTTAACATTGCACTGTTTTTTTCCTCCTCTGCTACCTGCCTGTCTCCAGCACTGCACCCGGGGACTAGCAGGGAGGAGAGAGACCTTGCAGTGTGATGAGCACTGATTGGGTGCTTGTCAGGAAAGGGGAGTATCAGGCTTATACTTTATCCGGTTCACTGCCAGAGCTGTTTTTGCGTTTTTTGCACACATTTAGAAAATCATTTAAGGCCTGAAGATTACACAAAACCTCGAAACATGATATATATTTTCTGAAATCAGAGACCCTAGAAAATAAAATAGCGGTAGTTTCAAAGTTTTATGTCACACAATATTATCACAGAGATCTAGGAAACACAAATTTTCAGTAAAAAATACACTTAAGTTAATGTAAGGCATAGAAAAGAAACAATAAATGACCAGATTTGTTTGTAAAATATAAAAGATGAGGTTGCATCGAGTAAACAGATATCCAACATGTCAAACCTTAAATTTGCGTTCACTCCTGAAATGGCAACAAACTTCAGTACCCTATATTTTCTATAGGCGATGCTTTTAAAGCCCCTTATAGGTCATCAGTTTAGGGTTATGGAGAAGGTCTGCTAGAATTATTGTTCTCATTCTGGCGTGTGCGGCGATATGTAATATGTGTATCATAATCGTCGTTTTCCGCAGCGCATTTTACATTTGTACGTGCGTACATATGTGGGGTTGGGGGGGGCCTCGAAAATTTTGGGGGGGGGGGGTATATGCTTGGGTGTAACAAATTTTTTTACCAATAAAAAATTTTTTTTTTACTTAACTTTTTTTTTTCATCACATAGGGGACAAAAAGTCCCCAATGTGATGATTTTTTGGTAACAGGTTCTCTTTTTTGAGACATCCAGGGTCTAAAAGACATCACACTGCATTACATTCTTTCCCAGCTTCGATTGCCGGGAAATCTGTCAACAGGGAACCGGAAGTGATGTCACATCACTTCCGGGTCAGGACAAGAAGGGGAGGGGGAGCGGCTGTGTCTGCTCTCCTCCCTGCCCCATAGCCGCAAGCACCCACTGAACTGGTCCCGGGCCCGCAGATAGGCAGGCAGAGGCCGGGAGACATAGCGGGTAGGGGGGCAGAGTCTGGCAACATAGTGGGCTGTGTGGAAGCAATTGGGCGGCAGTGCTGCCACCCGAATGCTTCCACCTGATAGTTGAGCCCTGGTGCTTATCCGCAGCAGGGCTAAAAGAAAAAAAAAAAAAAAAAAACTACCTGCCCGGCACTAAATGTCCCGGGCGTCAGGTGATATGCATTGAACAACCCTGAGTATTTGGACCCAAATGCATCCCTGGTCTTGCTCCTGTCTCACGGAAACAACAGGCCATTACAATCTGAAAAATAAGCTTTTCCTCATAGGAAATTCTGCAAGAAGTGTTTTCTACAGCCAAGAGCACCACATGGACAACCCGACTGTACAGTCACCTTGAACACTGCAAGTATCATCAATACAATGTCTTTAGCAACGGTGATCAAAATGAATATAAAATTCAAGAACCAATTACTTCAATTCAGGAACCCTCAATAAAAGGGTTAAGAGGGTCAGTGAAACACATACTTGTTAGAGCAATAGAATAGACCCAACAAACGATAGCTTCAATTACTGAGGTATAGTTCTTTGTAATAACAGGTCTAGACCAAAGTTTTAATTTCAGTTTAGGATAGATGCTGGCAGACTAAATGATAGCTTCTTAAGCAGACCTGTACAACGATGATGAAATTACTGTACTGCTTATTTTCAAACAAACAATGTCACATAAGAAATGAAGGAGATTTGCTAAAAAAAACTGATTTACAAAGAGCATTGCTTATTTAAAGTGGAATTCCAGCTTAACCCTAACTACTCTTAGAACTGTCCACTCTCCCCTCCTAACAACTATTCTGACCAACCCATGTAAGAAAGATCTGCATTTACTTATCAGGCCGCTCCAGTTGTCACAGAGTCAGCTCTTGTGTGTTCTCAGCACAGCTTTAGGGGAGAGGAATGGCAACAAAAGACAAGTGAAGTACTGTGTGATGTCACTGCATGCTTTAATAGCCATTGTCAGAGTGCTCTCTCAGCACAGTGAATTCAAGAGTGGTACTGTGATAGGTTGCATCTGTGCAATAAATCAATCCGTAAAATTTCCTTGCTACTAAATATTCCACAGTCAACTGTTAAAAAGGTATTATAAACAAAGTGGAAGCAACTCTGGGAACAACAGCAACTCAGCCACAATATGTAAAATGACAGGGCGGGGTCAGTGCATGCTGAAGTGCAAAGAGCGCAGAAGTCGCCAACTGTCTGCAGAGTCAATCGCTAAAGACCTACAAACTTTGTGTGGCCTTCAGATTAGCACAACAGGTTATAGAGTGTTTCATAGAATGAGTTTCCATGGCCAAGCAAGCATCCAAGCCTTACTTCACCAAGTGCAATGCAAAGCGTCGGATGCAGTGCTGTAAAGCACGCTACCACTGGACTCAAGAGCAGTGGAGACGTGTTCTCTGGAGTGACGAATCACGCTTCTCTGTCTGGCGATCTGATGGATGTGTCTGGGTTTGGAGGGAGGATTATGGTGTGGGGTTGTTTTTCAGGGGTTGGGCTTAGCCTCTTCGTTCCAGTGAAGGGAACTCTTAACGCATGTGCTCTGAAGGAATGCCATACCTGTGCTGTTCCTTCAGAGCACTGTGCCGTGGCCAATGACTCCCGTGTGCATCATGGTTTAGCCAAAGTTTGCGAACCCAGAACAACGACCAGGTGAAGATATAAGCCTTTTACAGTTGTGACAGTGCGCCGCTGGAGGGGTTCATTGTAAGGTAAGTTTTAGATAATGTGATGGTATGCGATTCATACTGATCATCAATTTCAACTGACAAAATAAGGTTTATTTTAACAGTAAAACATCAAATAGTTTTGGTAAATAAGATGTTGAAATCCAGAGCTTTACTTACTGCCGATGGAAAGGGGAGATTTCTGTAGATGGGAATGAAAGGGGGAATGCATAGCCCAACAGAATGCAATAGACAGAAAAAGAAGATAGGTATATCTAAAATATGGTGGATAATTTCAAATCAATAAAAGTGCTAATAAAGTGCAAAACAGTGACTAAATGGTAAGTATAGTCCATAGCGTGCTCAAAAATCCAAGAGAGTCCTTAAAGAGCT